GCATTGAGGATGCAGGGCAGGCTACGTGTGCCTAATGTAGATGGGTTGTGTGAGTTGATTTTCTAGGAGGCTCACAATACATGTTACTCCATTCATCCAGGTGCCGTGAAGATGTATCAGGACTCGAGGCAGCATTATTGATGGAGGATAATGAAGAAGGACATAGTGGAGTATGTAGCTCGGTGCCTAAACTGTCAGCAGGCGAAGTATGAACATTAGTGGCCTGGTGGATTGCTTCAGAAGCTAAAGATTCCGAAGTGGAAATTGGAGCAGATCACTATGGATTTTGTTGTTGGGCTCCCACAGACTCAGAGGAAGTTTAATGCAGTTTGGGTGATTGTGGATAGGTTGACCAAGTTAGCACATTTCATTCTAGTGGTGACTACTTATTCTTCTGAGCAGCTGGCTCGAGTTTATATCCGCGAGATTGTTAGGCTTTATGGCGTGCCGGTATCCAACATCTCTGACCGGGGTACGCAATTTACATCGTGGTTCTGGAGGGCCGTACAACATGAGTTAGGTACTCGAGTTGAGTTGAGCACAGCATTTCACCCAAAAGACGGAAGGATAGTCCGAGCGCACTATTCATATATTGGAGGATATGCTCTGTGCATGTGTGATTGAGTTTGGGGGTTCTTGGGATAATTTCTTTCCACTTGCGGAGTTTACCTACAAAAATAGTTATCAGTCGAGCATTCAGATGGCCCCGTATGAGGCTTTGGATGGTAGACGGTGTCGGTCTCCAGTGGGTTGGTTCGAGCCGGGCGAGGCTAGGTTATTGGGTACAGACTTGGTTCAGGATTCTTTGGAAAAGGTTAAGTTGATTCAGGTTCGACTTTGTACAGTCCAATCCAGACAGAAAAGTTATGCGGATCAGAAGGTTCGCGATGTTGCATTCATTGTTGAGGAGCGGGTCTTGATTCGGGTTTCGCCCATGAAGGGTGTTAAGAGGTTCGGGAAGAAGGGAAAGTTGAGCCCTAGGTTTATCGAGCCTTTTGAGATTCTTGAGAGGGTTGGAGAGGTGGCTTACAGACTTACACTACCACCTAGTCTAGCTATAGTTCATCCAGTATTCCATGGTTCTATGCTCCGGAAGTATCACGGCGATCAGTCTCATGTGTTAGATCTCAGCTCAATCCAGTTGGACAAGGATTTAACTTATGTTGAGGAGTCGTTGGCCATTTTGGACAGACATGTTCGAAAGTTGAGGTCGAAGAACATCGCTTCAGTGAAGGTTAAGTGGAGGGGTCATCCGGTCGAGGAGGCGACTTGGGAGACCGAGCATGATATGCGCAGCCGTCATACTCATCTTTTCACCACTTCAGGTATGTCTCTATAATCATTCGAGGACATACGTTTGTTTTAAGAGGGGGAGGATGTAATGACCCGCAGGTCGTTTTGAGCGTATTAGCCCCGACCCCCTAATTATTGTCTTCTCTATGTTATACTGTGGTTACGTGACTTTCCGGGAGGTTCGGTTTTTTGTTTCAGAGTGAAATGGGACACATAGTCCCTAAGTTTGAAGTTTAAGTTGTAAGAGTTGACCGTAGTTTGAATTGTGTGAAGACAACTCTGGAATGGAGTTTTGATGGTCCCAATAGCTCGGTAGGGAGATTTTGGTCTTAGGAGCGCGGAAGACTTTAGGAAAGTTTGATCGGGAGTGAACTTTTTGATATCAGGGTTGGATTCTGATTTCGGAAGTTGGAGTAGGTCCGCAATGTCAAATGTAACTTGTGTGCAAAGTTTCATGTCAATCGGACTTGATTTGATAGGTTTCGACATCACATTTGGAAGGTAGAAGTTTATAAGTTCATTAAACTTGAATTGGGGTGTGATTCATGGATTTAGCGTTGTTTGATGTGATTTGAAGGCTTGACTAAGTTCGTATCGTGTTTTAGGACTTGTTGGTATATGTGGTTGAGGTCCCGAGGCCCTCGGGTGTGTTTCGGAATGAAATCCGGACCAAATTAAGTCTTAAGTGATTGCTGAAGCTTGGCAATGTCTGGTACAATCGCACCTGCGCACCTTGAGCTGCAGGTACGGCACCGCAAAAGCGGCCCTTGAGCAGCAGAATCGTGAGTGAGCCCGGTCAGTAGGGACCACAGGTGCGGTCAGTGGAGCGCAGAAGCGGAAGCGCAAATGCGGCTGTCCTTCGCAAAACCGCAAGCGCAAGTGCGCTTAGGGTGCCGCAGAAGCGAGTTTTCAAGGACCTAAGTGATGGCCACACCTGCGATGGAAATTCCACAGGTGCGGAGCCACAGATGTGGCTAAGGCCTTGAAGAAGCATTGTAACTTGGCATAAAAGGCCTAAGTTCGAGGGTTTGATTTCATTATCAATTTTTGGACCGAGTGAGCTCGGATTGAGGCAATATTTTGAGGAATTTTTAGAGAAAATGTCACGATCCAAGCCGATGGGGCGTGACGAGTACCCGAGTTCTACCTATCGAACACCCCTAAGCATACGTCAAAGATATAAACATGAAATAAGTGTAAGTCATGCATAACGCCTGACAATAAAATACTGATTCATGTGAATAACATACGCGGAAAAACATGCCCAAGAGACATATATACATATATATACGGAATACGGCAGGGCGAGCCGACAAGGACACATACTATCTAACTACACATGACTGTCTACAAACCTCTAATAGAGTGTACACTGTATAAAGGACGGGACTGGGCCCCGTCATACCCATATGTATACAAAAGTATTGTACCAAAACTCAATAGCAGCTCCGGATCAAATGGAGCACACCAACTCTCGCTGACCAAGGAACCTAAGAAGGGGGATCGTCAGCCTGTCTACCTGCACCCGCGGGCATGAAACGCAAGGCCCCCAAGCAATAGGGGGGTCAGTAAGAATAATGTACCGAATATGTAAGGCATAAAAATCAGTATACAAAAGTTATGAAAGAAACATGGTAGTAAAGGACTCAATGTGTAAGTCTGGATAGCTCCGTGAATCATGAAACATTTATAATGTCAAGCATATACGTATAAATGTCATGTCATGCATAGGTATATGCGTAGATAACATTCTCAAGCCTCTGAGGGCATCCCCTTATATCATCTCAGCCTCTATGGGCGAGATCATAAACGTATACCAGCTGATCAGGTGGTGGTGCGTATATAACGCTATAACCTTTCCCCATACCCCATATACATATACTATACGCGTATATAACGCCATCTGGTCATGGGTCAATATACATGTATAAATGGATGCAATGAATAATGAAGCAAGTCAATAAGATCTCTCGGAACGTCATAAGACCCATGAACAGACAATATGATAGTAGGACATATGGGGAATCAAGAACATAGGCAACCCTAGTACTTCTAAGAATAGAATCATTTGTGAAAGTTGCGTGCTTGGTTGTTTCCTTGTATCATATAGATCATGCCAAAAGGCAAGGAGGGATAGCCTTAACATACCTCAAGTCGTCAATGCAACTCCACAACAAGCTTATGATAACTAGCGCGCCAACCCTATAACAAAGAAATACATGTACGACTTAGATGGCGCTAGTGTATTACGTATCTCAAATGATAACTCGATTCTAAAATAAAACGGGCAGCATTTCCCTTGATTTTACTGCTCCCTCAAGCCTACTATAGGCGAGCCACAAACACAATACATTCAGCAACTCAAAACCAACCTAATTACAATCGGAACCTTCAATACAGCAAAAACCCCAGATATACCATAACACATCCAATCAACAACTTATCAATTTGCCTGAAAATGCAACGACGAGCGACCAAACTACTACCCTACCACATATGGCATTTCTCCAGGCCTTTTTATCCTTCCAAAATCCATAAATTAAGAAGCACAAAAAAAAAAGTAGCTACCTCGGGAGAGGGATGAGAGTAGTCTTTTTCCAATAGGCTAGCTGCCTATTGCAGGAGTTTTTCTTCCAATTCATAGACTTAAAAAAGGGGATTTGCCACATCGTTGAGTGATCTTTAAAAAGGAAGTCGTCCTTCACTATCTTCCAATCTTCAAAGGACAGTGGAATTAGGCTTTATCCGATATAAGAGCTTCTTCTTTCGTCCTCTAGTCTTCTTTTAAAAGAAGGAGGAATGCCCCAACCACGGAACATCTCAGCCATTGGTGGGAATTTTGCCCGCATCCGATCCCCAATTCTTGTTCACCCCGGATGATCGTGTTGGGTGAATTGTGACCTCTCAGCAGCAAAATAGGCCAGCACAAATGGACTACAATACAGTCCACTAAAAGTGGAAAAAAATTGAACTAACGGCTTCCAATCACCATCCCGTGAGTTCTAACTATTAGAAAACCAATTTATCAACCTTCCTTGATATTTAAACACTTAATTACAGAAGTTACACGTTTCTTAACTATGAAGTATCATGCAAAAACTAACTACAAATAAAAAAGAGAGACGGTATAATGATACTTACGTCGTAGGAATCGTTCTGATGTTATCGCTTCTCGATTTCGTACCCTGGATGTTAGTATTGAAACCCTTTGGAGAGCTTAAGTATAGGGTTTTATGTTGTTCTCTCATCGGACTCTATGTAAATGTGAAGAGAGAGACGAGCTAAAACCTATATATAAACTTTTGAAAAGTCAAAGAGGTGCTAGCTTGGCACCCTCGCATTTGCCCATTTTCCGATGCTTATATCTTTTTATCCGGATGTCGTCTGAACGAATGGTTAAATGCGTTGGAAACTAAATTCCAAGACCTTCAATTTGGTATATAATATGTCCCAAAAATACCTCATATAGAACACGAAATCTATTTCTCAAAAAGCTCCATACAAGGCAAATCCTTAGTCGGTTTTTCCGCAACATAAATTCGATTTTTCCCAAACTTTATATTTTATATCCAAACAACATATATAGTCATATTATGACTTTAAACTCATTTAAATCATTATTAAAAAGTCTCATATTCATTATACGTCACCTTGGGACGCACAGGGTGTAACAATCTTCCCCCCTTAGAAACATTCATCCTCGAATGTTAACCTCCCAGAGATCTATAGAAATTTTGGCAGAGTGTCCTCTGTAATGGTACCACTACCAACCTGTCAGATAAAATACCCAACAATACAAAGCCACATAGGCCACAATAATCAATAACACTAATGGCCTCACACGACCAATGACAATAACTAACATAAGAGTCAAGTACCATATACGTACCTAAGCTGTGATATCTCAGTCCGATCCTCCACCGGAAGCGGAAAAAAGTGAGGGTACCTAGACTTCATGTCTTCCTCAACTTCCCAAGTCATCTCCTCCATATTATTGTTCCTCCAAAGTACTTTAACCGAAGATACGTCTTTAGTTCTCAATCTCCGAACCTGTCTATCTAGTATAGCAAAGGGAGCTTCCTCATATGATAGATGCTCTGTGACATGAACATCGTTAATTGGAATGACTCTAGAAGGATCTCTGATACACTTACGGAGCATCGACACATGAAAAACTGGATGTACTGAATCCAAGTTGAAAGGCAAGTCTAACTCATATCCTACCTGGCCTACTCTGCGTATGATCTTATACGATCCAATGTACCGAGGGCTAAGCTTTCCTTTCTTACCGAATCTCATAATGCCTTTCATCGGTGATACCTTTAGGAATACCTAGTCATCTACCTGAAACTCCAAGTCTCATCGCCGATTATCTGCATAGGACTTCTGACGACTCTGAGCTGCTAATAGCCTTTCCCGTATAAGCTTAATCTTCTCAACTGCCTGTTGTACCAACTCTGGTCCTACTAACTTAGTTTCCCCTACCTCGAACCATCCGATAGGTGACCTATATCTCTGTCCGTAAAGAGCTTCGTATGGAGCCATCTGAATGCTGGAATGATCGATATTATTATATGCGAACTCAATAAGTGGAAGATGATCATCCCAGCTACCCTTGAAGTCTATCACACAAACCCGTAGCATATCTTCCAGTCTTTGAATAGTATGCTCAGCCTGGCTGTCTGTCTGGGGATGAAATACTGTACTAAGGCTTACTTAAGTCCCCAATTCTTTTGGGAAGGACCTCCAGAAATTAGCTATAAACTGAGCACCTCTATCTGAGATGATAGATATAGGGACACCAGGAAGTCATATTATCTCCTTAATGTAAAGCCTTGCATAATCCTCTGCTGAATACGTAGTCCTGACAGGCAGAAAATTGGCTGATTTTGTAAGTCTATCAACAAAAACCCATATATCATCAAACTTACCCTGGGTATGAGGTAAGACTATGATGAAATCCATATTAATTACTTCCCGTTTCCAAGTCGGAATCTCTATAGCCTGTGATAATCTACCAGGTTTCTGATGCTCAATCTTAACCTGCTGATAATTAGGGCACTGAGCAACAAACTCTGCTATATCCTTCTTCATTTCGTCCCACCAGTATATTTCCCTGATATCATGATACATTTTTGTCGATCCTGGATGAATTGAATAACGAGAATAATGTGTTTCTCCCATAACATGTTGGCGCAGCCCTGCCACATTAGGAACACATAATCGACATCGATATCGATATTTTAGGACTCCATCTCCAGTAATCTCAAATGGTGTTTTCTCCTTTTGAGGGGTTGTATCTCTATAATGAGCTAGCACATGATCCTTATACTGGTGTTCCTTCACTTCAGTTACTAAAGAGGATGTTGCCGTGTCCTGGATAGTAACTCCGGTATCACCTGAATCTAGTAATCGAATTCCATGATTAGCTAGCTGATGAATCTCACGAGCTATCTCACTCTTCTCTCCCTATAAATATGATAGGCTACCCGTAGATCTACGGCTGAGGGCGCCAGCTACTACATTCACCTTCCCTGGATGGTATAAAATATCAACATCATAGTCTTTCAGTAGCTCCAACCATCGCCTCTAACGTAAATTCAATTCCTTTTGCTTGAAGACATACTGAAGGCTCTTATGATCCGTATAAATATCAACATGGATGCCATACAAATAGTGCCACCACATCTTTAGTGCATGAATCACCGCGGCTAACTCTAAATCGTAGGTCGGGTAATTCTTCTCGTGCTTTCTTAGTTGTCTAGAAGCGTAAGCTACAACCTTACCATGTTGCATCAGTACACAACCCAATTCAATGCCCGAAGCGTCACAATAGATAGCATAACCATCGGTACCCTTTGGGAGTGTCAGAACCGATGCTGAAGTCAATCTGTCCTTCAATCCTGGAAACTCCGCTCACAAGCATCATTCCACTAAACATACTTGCCTTCAGAGTCAACATTGTCAATGGTGCTGAAAGAGAAGAAAAGCCCTCTACAAATCACTTGTAATAACCTGCCAAACTTAGGAAGCTACGAACTTCCGTCGGTGTCGTGGGTCTAGCCAAGTCTTCACTGCCTCAATCTTGTGTGTATCAACCCGGATATCCTCATCTGAAATAATATGTCCAAGGAAAGCTACAGAATTCAACCAGAATTCACATTTAGTGAATTTTGCGTGCAACTTCCTTTCTTGTAAAACTCTGAGCACAGTACGCAAATAATCTGCATGCTCAGCCTCAGAAAATATCATCTATAAATACAATCACGAACAAATCTAGAAAGGGTCTGAACACACGATTCATCGAGTCCAAGAATACTGCTAGGGCATTGGTCAAGCCAAACGACATAACACAAAACTCAAAGTGTCGTATCTGGTCCTGAATGTTGTCTTCGGAATATCTTTCTCTCTAACCCTTACCTGATGGTACCCCGACCTCAATTCTATCTTCAAGAAACACGTAGCACCCTGCAACTGATCAAATAAATCATCAATCCTCGGGAGCGGGTACTTATTCTTTATCTTTGCCTTATTAACCTATCTGTAATCAATACACACCCGCAAGGAACCATCTTTCTTTCTCACAAATAACACAGGTGCTCCCCACGGTGATGTACTGGGCATGATAAAGCCTTTTTCAAGCAAATCCCTCAGTTGTTCTTTTAACTCTCTCAGCTCTGCAGGTGCCATCCTATAAGGAGGAATAAATATCGGCTGAGTACCTGGTAATGTATCAATAGCAAACTCAATCTCCCGTTCTGGCGGAAGGCCTGGAAGCTCATCAGGAAAAATATCGGGAAACTCATTAACCACCGGGATAGATTGAAGGGTCGGTGACTCTGCTTTCAGATCCTGTACCCAAACTAAGTGATAAATATAGCCCTTTCTGATCATCTTCCTTGCCTTGAGATAGGAAATAAACCTACCTCTTGGCGATGCAGTGTTACCTTTCCACTCTAGAATTGGCTCCCCTGGAAACTAAAATCGAACCATGTTTGATCTACAATCAACGTTAGCATAAAAAGAAGCCAACCAATCCATACCCATTATAACATCAAATTCTACCATATCTAGCTTAATCAGGTCTGCTACTACAGAGCGACTAAGAACTACTACTATATAATCTCTATATACCCGTCTAGCTATCACTGGATCCCCAACAGGTGTAGACACCTCAAAAGGTTTAATCAACTCAGGTTCTATCCCAAACTTGCTAGCAACCAACGGAGTTACATACGATTAGGTGGAACTTGGATCAATCAATGCATATACATCATATGAGGAGACTGATAATATACCTGTAACAACATCAGGTGATGACTCCTGATCTTGTCGACTCGCTAGTGCATAAACGCGATTCTGAGGACTGCTCGAGCTAAATGCTCCACTTCTGCTTCTACCACGATCGGCTGGTGCTTGTGAACCTTGCCCAAGGGGCGTACTGATGACGACGAACCAGCTACAGATCCCGCTGGCTGAACTACACCTGCACCACCTCTCGTCGGACAATCTCTCATAACATGGCCTGGATAACGACAAGTATAACAAACACCCAACCCCACGAGGCACTATCCGGTATGCTGCTTACTACACTGAGCACATCGTGGCATGGGTGGCCTAATCTGACTTGACTCACCCCTATACTGAAAACTAGAGGCCTTGGAATTCTGACTGGGCCCTGGATAGGTGGAATGATCAAATCTCCTACGAGCAAACTGAGGAGGTGCACTAGCCGATGGCTGGGCTGGATACCTTGGGTACTGCTGTCTCTGACCATTCGAAACTCACCAGAAGGACCTGAAGATCTCGCTCTATTACTCTGGCCCCTATCATGCTCGCGATTGGCCCTCTGCTTCTTCTTACGCTCCTCTACACCCCGAGCGTATGCCTGAATACGAGAAATATCAATGCCTGGATGAAGTGATACCGACATACAATCATTAAGAAGGTGCGACTCCAACCCTATCACGAACTGGTGAACCCGATCCTCCATCTTAGCTACAATAGAGGGAGCATACCTAGCCAAAGATTCAAACTGAAGGATGTACTCCCGGACACTCATATTACCCTGTTGAAGGCTCAAGAACCTATCAACTCTTGCCCGTCTAAGCTCTGGTGGCAAATAATGATGAAGAAAAGCCTCTGTAAACTCCTACCATACTGCTGGAAGGGCATCCTCACCTCTGGACAACTCCCAAGACTTGTACCAATTAATTGCAACATCCCGAAGTCTATAGGAAACTAGCTCAACTGACTCAGTCACAGCGGCCTTCATTACCCTCAAAGTCCTCTGCATCCTATCGATAAATACCTGAGGGTCCTCATTTGGGTCTGCTCCAGTGAATATTGGAGGGTCCAAATTAATGAAATCACGAACCCTCGCACTGATGGCCCTATCTGCATGACCAATACCTACCTTCCGGCGCCGAGCCTATGCAACCACTAATCGAGTCAATAGCTGAATAGCATCTCTTATCTCCTGACCCGGTGCATCTGGCTGAGGAGCTAAGGGTACTGGAGCGGGTGCCCCTCGGATCTCCTCTAGAGAGGGCAGGGTATATGAAGTCTGAGATAGAGTCTCACTATGCGACTCTCCCCGAGCCCTGGTAACTCGTGGAACTCGACTTGTAGGCTCATCAGCCACGGACTTGCCTTTCTAGGCCGCTGTAGCCTTCTTGGGCATCGCTGAAAACATAACATATCGTTAGAAAAATGAATCCTCACATCGCATGATCTAAGATAAGAAGGGAGGATAATATCCTGTATGTCCTGCAGCCTCCTGTTTATAAGTGTGGTGCACAACACACTCATAAACAAGACTATACTAGACATGATCTGTAGACAACCCTAAGATGGAACTACTCTGATACCACTTTTGTCACGACCCAAACCGATGAGCCGTGACGAGTGCTCGAGTTTTACCTATCGAACACCCCTGAGCATACGTCTAAGATATAAGCATGAAATAAGTGTAGGTCATGCATAACACCTGGCAATAAACAACTGATTCATGTGAATAACATATGCGGAAAAACATGCCCAAAAGACATATATACATATATATACGGAATACAGCAGGGCGAGCCGACAAGGACACATACTATATAACTACACATGACTGTCTACAGACCTCTAATAGAGTGTACACTGTATAAAGGATGGGACTAGGCCCCGTCATACCCATATGTATACAAAAGTATCGTACCAAAACTCAATAGCAGCCCCAGATCAAATGGAGCACGCCAACTCTTGCTGAGCAAGGATCCTAAGAAGGGGGACCTTCAGCCTGTCTACCTGCACTTGCGGGCATG